CAGTTTTCTTTTTTTAAATTATATATATAGATTTTTTCTTTTGTTTGTTTAATTTTTATTAGCTTTCATTTAATATATTATGACATTTGTCACAAAACCACTCCTTCTTTGGCTTCTTTGAAATGCTAAGACATTTGAAATGAAACCATTCTAAACAGCTTTCACACTCAATGCTTTCACTGGAAGCTGTATTTAAAGTACATAACGGACAATTCCATACGCCCAGTTTCTTTTGCTGCAAAATTGATTTCTGCAGGCTATTCCAGGCAAGATTGGTTAAATATGGTTTAAAATATCTATTGTAAAACCATCATTTAAAAATGCAGAAGGAAGATTGCCAGCCTTTAATTCTAAATCGCCCACATCTGCTTGCATTTCACGCGTAACATCTTCTATTTTTTTCTTCATGAGAATACCACCCAAAAGAACTAGATAGCAACAGATTGCAAATATATATAGTCATATATTGTTTAAAAGCTGATAAAATTTTAGAATTTAGATTACTTTAATTCATAAAAACTAACCACTTATTTTTCCGGCTACACTTTTATCAGTATAAGATAAACACTTTCTTTTCCATCTAGATAAACCCACTGCAGTTTTTCTCTCTTTAGCCTTAGGCCTTCCTCGTGACTTAATCTTTCGAGGAAATTTTAGATCTTTAATATTGATTGAATGAATATTTAAAGAATCATGTAGATTTTTGCTTGCCTAAAAGATTTAATTAACTTTGGTTTAACAATTACTGTTTTTATTAAAACTTATAACCAAAATCTACACAAGCATTGCTAACTATTTCAAATGGTATTTTACAGAAAAATAAACTTTTTAAAAACAATGAAAAATGGTAAAAGACAACTGTAATAATAAACATTGACAATACGATAAATAGTAATACTAATTTTGTTGAAAGATAATAAAAGAACAATAAAAAATGAAAAACAAAAACTTCTTACCCCAAATTCACTGTCTTCTATCAGATTTTTACTAACTATGTTAATCAAAGTTTGATCACAAACTTGATTATTATCATTATGATGTTGACTAGATATTTCAGCAAAATTCAATCCATTTTTTTCTAAATTGTCTTGGTGTAAATCTACAGACAATTGCTCTAAATGTAACGGCTTTTTGATTGCGATTAAACAATTTGGTAAATCCATATCTATTGCAATTGGTTGCATTTCATACTCATTTATTGAAATATGAGAATTTGAACTACAGATGAAGTCAGGTGCATCATGAAATTCTAAAATATCAGAGTTTGAAACCTCTAATGGATGCATATTATTCTTATTTAAGGTTTCATTGCATGTTAAAATCAAATCTATGTTACTTGTCGACGAAACAAATGCTTTTTTTGTTGAATCACACAATACGTTATGGTTGCTTATAGAACTAATAGCACATTCTGATGTAGTATCAATTATTAAATCCACTGAGTCCAAAACAGTTATCTCTGCATGTTTATGTTCTTCCCAAATATTAACTAAATTTTGAAGGATGTTTATTCGGCTTTCAAATTCACTTTTCCCTCCTTCAGAAACAAGCTGTGCTAATCGCTGAGAGATACGATTTGCTTTTTTAAACTTTTCAGCTTGTGTTAAAGGTCTTTCTTTTAACACACCAATTCCTAAATGATTATGGTTTTTGTTTTGGTGTTGAAAAAGGCGATGATTTTCAGTAGCATGAGATTTGAGCCATCTTATTGAAATGCCGTCAAATGAAAATATTGGTAATTGCTTTATTCGACTTGCTACAAACATGTGTTTGCAAGGTAATCCCATAGATTTATAAAAAATACAATGGCAACTAAGCTCACTTATTGACACCTCCTGTCCTAAAATTTCAGATGTTGGATTATTATTATCGCCTCCAGGGTATAACTCTAGTGCTTCACGTAACTGACTTCTAACAAAACTTAAAGCATAAGGTGTTAAAATTTTAGAAAACTCCTCTATAACATCATTATCAAGAACAGTATTAACAGAGATACGCTCTCCAGCAATAACAAAGTTATGATTGCGCTCCTTACGCATTACATCTATAACAGAAAAAAGATCTTTAAAAAATATTGGAAGAGGATTTAATAAGTTTAAAACAGATTTTATTCTTCGGTTTACAGATTCTAATCTGTTTGTTGTTCTTTGTCCAAAAGTCAAATTTTGTTGCTGCCAACAAAATACCCACTCAGTTTTGCAATTATTCCAGTTGGTTTCAGAGTAACTAACCACGCTGTCTGGCATTTTTTCAACAAATTCACAATGAAGTTTTTCAAATTGTAATTCTGACGATGCATATGCCATTTTTTGAAGCGCTCTTAATGCATATAACCTTTGACTTTCACTAATGCCCATTTTCAAAACAGTCACTTCTCTGCTCATTGCACGCAAGACATGAAACAAGCATAACAGCAATACTGCATTGGGAAATGTTGTTCGCAGAGAGTCACGCTCGGCCATATCTTTATCAGTAAAAATAGTGACTATTTCTGTCCATTTTAGATTTTTTAATTTAAATGTCTTTAGAACCTCAGTATATGTTAATGCATCCTCTGACGCTGTTACAAAAATTGCAACTATCTCACTTTCTCCACTTGGACCCATCCCCAGTAAAATATACAAAGGCATACGTAGATTTGTTAACTTATACGTTGCATCCATTAAAATTAATTCAGGATACAATGAAAAAAATCTCTTCATTTCTGCATCCTGAAAAAAAATTGTCTGGATACTACCACTATTGTCACATTTAATATCTACATCTGCACCTATAATGAAATACACAAATTGGAATTTAAACGTTAAATATATGAATACTAATTCATATATTTAACTAATTCATAAATATAAATGTTGAACAACAAAAAAACAGTTTTTTCTAATTGTCAAAAAAAAAAACCTGATGAAAAAAATTTAATATAGGGAAAATATAATTCAGCTGATAACAAATTTCATTAAAAGTTGTATTTAAATAGTTTGAATTGCATAGTATAATTGTAGTGAACAAACAGTAGCAAAATTAAAAAAAAACTTGCAATTCAAACAGTGGCATGCATAAATGTTTCTGTTACACATTGTTTTATCTTATCCTATTTTTGAAAAGTTTGGATATCAACAAGGTTTCAGTAAACTTGTAAGTTGAAGAGTATTAACCATTAAAATAACTTAAAATTCAAAAACAAAATAAATAAGTACAAAAACAAACCATCACAATTTTGAAATACTGCAAGTAAAGATTCTACATCTGTTGAACCTTTATCTTTTGATGATAAGTTATGTATGTCTTTTAACGTAATTTTCTTTCCTAAATGATAAGTGATTATACAACAAAATTAGACATTTTAACAAAATAATTAAATGAATTTAGATAAATTACAAACTTAATTAAAATATCGAAATTATAAGAGTTATATTGTTATTACTATGAAGTTTATTTATAATGTTTAATACAGTGTAGGGAAATCAATATTTAACAATTATTTTTTATAATTAACGAATGATACTAATTTAATAATTAACAAATAGTACTAATTCAATAATTAACAAATAATACTAATTCCAAAAACGTCTTTTAAATTCGATGAACAACATAGAGTGTCAAAACAAGACTTTAAAAGTTCTCAGTTCTGTTCTGTTACAGATTTGTGTTTGGACACACAAGTGTAAAATTATGGTTCTAAAACTTAAGTAAACAAAACGTTATTATATTATTTCCCAGTTAAATCATACTTTGAATAAATCTGAATAGATTTGCTAATCTGAAATAAAAATCAGCTAGTATTGTTACTTAATCATCATCACCTGTTTCATTTTGAATATGCTCATGAACAAGCCATTTATTGCAATGTAATTTCAACATTTGTCTTACATCTTTTTCTTGCTCATTACTCAATTTCCTAACCTTTGGAAGCCTTTCTATAATTTCCTAAATAATAAATAATAATTATTAAAAAAATCATTTAAAAATTAATTTTTTTAATTAATAAAACAAGGATTTGTAGATATCTTTGAGAATAACCATAATATTTTAAAAAACTCATTTTTTTGAACAAAATACAATCAGGGTCTCACAACCAGAGATGTAGGTCTCGAGAATTAGGGCTCATATTTAACTGTCTTGGTCTTGAAACTTGAAGACCAAGAGTCTTAGCCTAGAAAGCCTAGAGTCTTGGTTTTGGAAACCTTTGGTTTTTTTTTTAAAAGATTTAAAATTTGGATTATAATAGTACAATGTATCGTGGATTTGAAAATGCAAACACTTTCTGGTGGACACTTTTTTTTTCAAATAAAATATTTACGGTGCATCCTACGATAACATAGACATAACATAGATAAAATCACTTAATTTTTCTAAAAATAATGTAAACCAAAAACCTACTTTATGTAGTTATTTTAATGACTTTTTAACCAAATATAAAGTTTTACAAATTCAAAAAAATTTTTCAAAATTTATTTATTTTTCATTTATAGTTTCTCCTTAATTAGTCAAATATTAGTCATTTTCCCGCTTAAAACTAAGCGAGCCACCTAGCAAGACATGTTTTTTTTCTTTGCAGATTTAGATTCCCTGTAAACTTCTGCGCAATAAAGAATTTCCCTTACTCTTAAAATTTTATAAAAACAGTAACTATAAAAAAAATTGCCTAATTTTTGTAAAAACACCCTTTATAAAAACTTACTTTTGTGTTCATTTTAATTACTTTTTGAATTAAATATAATATTACCCTTGCTAATTAGTCATATTTTAGTCATTTTTGGGTTTTAAACAATGCTGACTCACCCAGCAAGACTTTAATTACTTTTATATTTAATAGTGGTTAAAAAACTAAATTTCTATGCTCATGCTAAATTTCATTGAAAAATAATTGGTACTTAAGTTTAAATATTGTAAATAAAGCAAAATATTGAACAAATAACAATAAAGTTTCGTAGCAAAACTACTGTTAGCCAAATATGACATTCTAAAATAGGTAGCAGTTTTCATCAGTTCTTCTAGTCCAATTTTGTTACTTAAAGGTACATAACTTTTTGTAGAGTCATTCTTTTTTTTTACGAAATCTTTAACGCACATACCTACTTTAACTTTTTTTAACCTTTAGTAACGTGTCCTGTGACATATTTTGATACAATTATAAAATATCTAAAAAATATTTGACATTCACACTGACATTTGTTTCAAAAATTTATATGATTAATATAAATAAACAAATTTATACTTATTACTTTATCAATTGCATGATTGTGCTCATTAATAACTTTAACAACACAGAACTGCTCTCCATCTTCAGTGACTCCAATGCAAATAGTAAACGGGCATTTGATGTTATATGTGCTATCGATAATTAATTATAAAATCTTTATTTAAAGTTAAAGTACTTTCTATTTTCTTAAATAAATTCAAAATAAGTATGTATTTATTCATCCTACCTTTGATTTGGACGAATACCTTTTGATCTTGACTTAAACTGGCGCCCACCATGATAACAACAATATGTTAAATAATAATATTTTAATTCCTTATTAATAGAGCGCTTCAAACCTTTTTTGATCGCTAACTCAATGGTTCGACTATCGCGAACATATAATGATATAAAACTTGATTTTTCATACTCTTCAATTGCCTGCTTAAGTTCATTGAAACTATTAAATACTTTACCGACTTCCATTTTTAAAACAAATGCATTTGATTTTTTTAATATTAATTACCAGACGCGGACCTTAAGTAAATCAACTAATAGTTACGTAACCGCAATTAGCTAGAGCCC